AATCTCCAAAACTTGACTCAGAGTAAAAGCAGCTTTGCAGACTATATGCTGTATGATTTCAGAATAGACAAAACTAATTTAAGGTGAAAAGAATCAGAATAACTATCACATGGGGAGTAAGAATTGAAAGGGAAGAGCCATGAGGGAACTTTCTAGGGTGATAGTAATGTTCTGTATCAGGGGTCAGTAAACTTTTTCTGTAAAGGGCAAATATTCTAGGCTTTGTCTCAAATTCTCAATTCTACCACTGTAAATGAATAAGTATGGCTGTGTTACAATAAAACTTTGTTTACAAAACCAAGACTTGGAACTTAGTTTGCTGATTCCACTCGATATTTTGAAAGTCGTCTGGGTTAAACAGGTGATTTGTCAAAACCCATCCAATAAGATTTGTTCACTTCACTATTTGTCAATTTTACCCTAAAGAAAAAGAATCTTAAGGAAATATTAAACTCTAAGCTAATGGTAAGCAAGCAGTTTGCACTGAGGTACATTTATATCTGCAACTTACTTTGAAAGCATCAAAAAAGTGATTGACAGGTGTACAGTAATACAAATATAACAAACTGTTGGTAACTGTAGACCCTACTTGGTTTATGGAAGCTAACTGTACAAGTCTTCCAACTTTATATATTCGAAAAGTTTAATATTAAATATGGGGACAGAGGGAATTTAATAAGATGTCACTGAAGATTTTTGAACAAAAAAAATGAAAAATGTAACTTACATTCTATAAATATGACTCATGTAATGCAAATGATACCCTGAAAGAAGTTCAGATGAAGGAAGAAAGTAGTAACTAGGCTACTACAATAGCCCATGCCATAGAAAGCATCAATATTTAAGGAGTTAAGTACAAATTAAGTTCATGAAGAGAGAAAAATCAGAGCAGAAAGTTTCTTCTTAACAAGGTAGGAGTTTCAAGGAGAAGATTCAAAGTGTCAATATGACAAAAATGAAGCAAGACAAGAGCTGAAAAGTATCTTAGATTAGATTAAGCAATGGACAACCCTGATGATGTAAAAGAGGCGTGGTAAGAATATAAATCAGATAAAGAATACTGGTAAGTTAAAAAGAAACAAGTGAAGATCAAAGGAACTGAACTGGGCCAAGAAAAGAAAATAATAACTAAGAGCAACATAAGGTGAAAGACTGCAGTACTTTTTTAAAGTGGAAAACAAAAGTGAATGACTGAACCTAAAAACTCAACGTATATTATCTCATCCAGAATACGTTCTATTGGGTAAGGCAGTTCACCGTGGGCCTGAGTGTCCCTGAAGATTCTTGTTGAGTGTGACAGTCTGTAAAGCTTATCCATTTCCTGATACTGAGTGGATTCATGTAATAAGTCACAGAGGTAACAAAGAAGGTCAAGGTTACCACAGCATGTTACTGCCCTCCCAGGGAGAGGTGAACTAGCTTGTTTGTTGTTTTACAATGTTTGCTGCTTGCTAAAAAAGTACTTGCACCGTTGCTCTTGAGTTCCTCAGTTGTGACCCACTAGTGCATCCATGTAGACCCATCATGCTCATGGGACCTGGGTGCAAGGAAATCTTACACAAATATGCTGATATTCATGCAGCTGGTCGTGATAATGCCATTTGTTGCTGACCTGGGAGTCTCCTGTTCTCTGCCAGCAACCATGAAATATTAACAGATTAACTTATTAGCTTCTAAATATGGTAAAATAGAATTTAAAAACTTCACAATTCTTGACATGAACAACAAAGAACTAGTTGATATTCAGGTTACTAAATAAAACAAGACACAAAGTGGTCACCAATAATAACTGAAATATATAAAATATTTTATACTTTATTTTATATTATTCATAACAATACTTATTTTTCATGTACCAGTCTCTATGCTCTTATATGTGTTTATAAATTCTCTAATAATCCTAATGAAGTGAGTACTAATATGAGGAAATTGAGGCTTCAGTTCTAAGTAACCAAACCAAGGGCTCATAAATTGTAAACACAACCTAAATAAAAGCCCAGATGACTCTGTAACTTGTGTTTGTTTTTTTTTAATCATCAATAGTCAACCTTCGTATTAGCTGATTTATCAAGGGCAACTCTCATTCTCCGGATACAGAGCTAAGTATATAGATCATCACAGAAAACGAACATTTTGGAAATGTCAATATAATCTTAAATTTTTCTTTAAAAATCTGTGGCCAAGATTTAAGAGTTTGGTTAAACAAATCCAAATCAACAACTTCATAGCAGAATTTCTCATGGTTTTAATATGTGAATGTATGTTTTAATATGCTAATATGTTATAAATCTTCTAAGACTCTTATCACTCAGGAATACAGTTTGAGAAATCTACTGCTGCAACATAGAGTGCCAATATAACAGAATACCTTTGAAATCTTAGTAGTAGTAGCTTGGTACAGGCACATAATCCTCTAAAATAGAAAACATCAAAGTTAGAATGTGGCTTAACAGCTTCAAGTCAACTACTTCATAGTTTGGCAACACTGCTCATTTCCTACCAAACAAAACAATTTCTCATAACACAATGAAACTACATATAATACCTGGCTTTTTCTGAAATTAGATGGGTAATGGTCAAGGCTTTTTGTAGCTCTACCCAATTATCCACTGTTTTACTTAACAAAATTTGTACCCTTTTTAACTTGGGAAGGAAAGAAGACACCACAGAAAAAACAGTTTCCTCATAAAACTTGTGCACTGGTTAAAGGTAGTAAGTCATTCTGATTGTTCTGGTCATCACTGCTAACTTTCCAATATGGAAAGCTAAATTTTAACTCTACCAGCAAGTGATAAATTAACATTGCATACCATTTCACCCCTAAGCATGCTTGCCTATCTCCTACTTCAGTCATCACTTAACACTCAACAACTGAAATTGTTTACTGCTCAAGTTTATTAAACTTTCCAGAGTTTTCAAAACACCTGAGCTAAAGGCAGCCACACAAAACAGTTGTGTTGAGCCACAACTGCAGATTGGTCCCTGGCTAAATAGTCTACTAGAGACCAATTCAGCAGCTTCTCTGACATATACCTAGATATAATTATTGATGAGGCCATTTTTCAACAAAACCAGGAGTTATACTAGACAGATGAAATTACTGTATAGTAACAGGAATTAAAATCTAAATTTAAACTATGCTAAGATTCTTAAACACGTTGCCTTACAAGAAAAACAAATTTATGGCCCATCTACTTAAATCATGAGTAGTATGATTTAGAAGGACTGATTTTTGCCCTTTGCTCTGAAAGAATGCCTCCACCCATTCAAAGTCTAAGACACATTTCCAGTTTGGGAAAAAAAAAAAAAAAGAGCATTAAAATGTAATATTGTCTACTTATTTTGAAATGAGTTGTAAAGAAAAAAAAATACCTTAAAACTGAGAGAACAAATGTCAATATTTTGGCGTTAGGCATTTTAAAAGATAAGTCAAGTCTTAACTAGTGATAACTACTGAAAACAAATGTGACAATATAATAAATTATTTTAAGGCACAGCTACATCACTTAAAAATGTTTAGTGACTTGTGTATGAGAACATAGTTGATTCTCGTAAAACCCCCAAAGAGAAAAAATTCAAATCAGCTAATGTCATTAAGGGAAACAAATAAGAAACAAAAATACATTACAAAGAGAAACAAGTCCCACTGGTAATAGTATTCAATATTTATCTACTGTATTTTATTTTTGTTAATATCTGCAAAAAAATAAAAATGCTTTTATAAAAAAATAAAACCACCAAAACTGTATACACTGACACCTTGAAAAATGCCCTACCTGCTATCAACAATATTTTCCAAACTGTCCAGAAAATACTGATAAGTTTTCACATAATTCAGAATATGGATCATTTGGAGGTACAACAGGATGTAAAGCAGATGAAATGGATTTCATCTTTCAGTAGCCTTCATTATTTGTCAAAACACTTATTAGAAATTCTTAACTCACAACTGTTTCACATGTGCAGGTAGGTTTAAAAGGTGAAATCTAACATATATACATTTGTAAAATGTCACAAACAGTACTATTAATTGCAACATCAGCGCTACATATTGTTTTTCTCCTCTCAATAAACAGATTTAACTACTGACTCAAAGTTTACAAAATAACATGTTACCTAGCTGCAACAAAATAGTCAACTATTGCTGAGTCCATTTTATTAATAGTGTTACAATAGGAATTTCCAATTAGAAAAATTAGACACTGAAAATAGAGAAAAACTTTTCACTCATTTCAATATACAAAGGTTTATATGGTTAAGCTGGAAAATATTGTACTTAAGGAAAAATAATTTTTCCAACAAGATTAGCATTTTTCTAGTAAAATTTCCTGTTTCTCCTCGCCTACCCCCCCCAAAAAAATGGGAAAGAAAAAATACATTCACTTTTAATATTAACAAAATGGAAAAGGACAAAAATGACAAAGGTTAACTAGAGCTGACAGACGAAATCAGCATCACGACTAGTCTCTACAGTTGCACAATTTTTAAAGCTACATTTGTTTTTTGCCAAATCCACATCCTACCCTACGTAATGCTTACATCCCCTTTCCCCACACCCACTCCGTTTATGACGGTGATAACCTTTGCAGAAGGTACGTTAAACTCAGTACCATTTTCAGTAGACAATCCACTAGAATGTCTCAGAAGTCACTTGGTCAGGGAATAAGGAAATGACCCAGAAAGTGAGAAATAAAACAGATATAAGTTTTAATTGGGGGGTGGGGTTACAGCAGGGTGTAGGATGCGGGTGAGGGGTGGGGAGCTAGGAGGAGACGGGCGTGGAAATGGAAGGGTCTCAAAGGAGTCAGAGACAGCCTCCACAGGAGGCGTGAAGGAAGCAGGTCCGGCCAGAAGAGCCTCTCCCCTCTCCCGCCCGCCCCCCGCCCCCCAAAAAAGGCCAGCACGTCACCTCCGGGAATAATCCGAGGCAAGAGACTCGGCGACACGAAGGCAGACAGTCCCGGGATTCCCGGGGGCCGGGGCGGGGGCCTGGAACTTACCACCTGGTAGCGGCCAGTCCCGGGCTGGTGATGATCCATCCTACCCGGCTCGGGACCCGGCTTCCCAGCCGGCGAGTCTCCTAGGTGCTCAGCCCCCTCGGCCACCCCAGTCGACGACGTCGTAGCCGCAGGGCTCCTTCCGCCACTGTTTGTGCCGCCGCAGTCACCAGGGCAGGCCGCTTCACTTCCTGTCGCTCCCGCAGCAGCCGCGGAGACCTCCGCCTCTGCCGCGACGCGGTGATGCTCCGAGGCGCAGCGCGTGCTACTGAGCATGCGCGGGATGGTCGCGCATGCGCGCTGGGTCCTCCGGCGTCCCATCCGCGACGCGAGTTGAGGGGGTTGGCTGGGTGGGAGGAGATGGAAAAGTAAGACAAGTCGGAGGAGCTGTCTAGGTTGTCACCCTGTCGGGAGTGGGCGGTGGCAAAAGGAACGGAGAAAAAAAAGTCCTTGATTGGTCTTTTTTATTGGACGGTGTGATCCCGCACCCTGGGGAGTGCGGGATCACACCACGGCAGAAACAGATGTGGAGGAGAGAGCGAACGCGTTCGTAGAATACCTGCGGACAGGTCATTTACCGACACTTCTCTTATTACTCACCCAACCTAAGACAATGCAGGGAGATCCATCTCTAGGACATTTCTAAAATGCTCAAAGTCATTAGTGAGGTAAGAAATATCTTTTAAAATATTTTTTGTTTCCCGCTTGGTAGTGAAAGACAAGAATCCCAACAAGGACTCTTCAGCCATACTCATCTCAAGGAAAGAGACCTCTAGAGCCCCAACTTACTGGAAGTATACAAGAAAATATTGAGATAAGATAGGACCATTTTGTTTTCATACATAAATAATTTGAGAGAGTTGAACAGCAAGGAATCACTTTGCGTGCAACATTGTGAGACTATCTCGGTGTCTGGTTAACAACACATAACCTGTGTCCACCTAAGAAACCCGTAGAGAATTTTTATTAATTTGAGCCAAACTGACAACGTGTGAGCAAGATCTCAAATACTCCAGAGAATAACAGTTTTGCGGCTGCTTTTATGCATTTGAAATTAAGGAAGGGACATAAGGCAGATTGTAGAAAACAAGGCAGGGGTTCGATTACAGGATAGTTAATAAGATGATGTGCTCTCTTGAGAGTTACTACCCCTTAGAGATGTATTACTTCTGTTATTTCAAAGGTGTGTTAACCTAAATGCACAAGAACAATAGACAGGGCTAGCATAAATTCTTTCATTAACGAAGTTATAGGCCTGACTACCCACCAAGACCTGTCCAATTAGGACTTTATGATCAAATCACCCTGTGAGGTTACTTTCCATAGAACCCCTTTTGTTCTGTCCACGTGTACTGTGTGTATCTCACAGGGTACAAAGCATGTTTATCAAGTAGAAGAGTATGATGGGGCAGCGTAAAGTACATTTTATACCCTGATTTTGGATTTTAGTAATATCTACAAGATAGCTTCACAGCAATGCTTATAGTAGTCTATGATTGAATAATTGGGTATACAGCTAACCAAGCTGACACTGAAAACTATCCCATGTTTATGTAAATAGAACAAGCTGAAATTGTCTCTGTATGATAAAGGATAAAGACAGGAACAAAAGAAAGGGAGGAGGTACCAGAGAGTTAGCTTAGAGGTAAAAACAAATTCCCATATTAAGTATTTCCTAACAGCTACATTTTCTATATGTACTTTTATATACATGGAGTCATCATCAGGCAACAATTAGAAAAGATTTGGATTCTGATTAACCATCTCAGTGCTAACACTGTTTTATTTAGCATTTTAATTGTTCCTTTGTTTAATCATGAGCAACAACTGTGAGCAAATTAACAGCTATTTTGTTTTAGGAGATACATATTTTACACTGGACTAAGTCATTAGTTATTGAAATGGCCTTTACCTTGAGTATAGAAGGCTGTTCTCTGACCGTACATAATGAACATTATGTGTTGTTATTTGTCTTCTTTTTTTCTCAGCAAGGCTGATAATCGCTTTCATCATAGAAAGTGCCATAGGGTTGGCACTGAGAATATTGACTATTATAAAAAGTTTTCTTGACTAACTAATGTATGATCGTGTTGTAAGAAGACATAGTATATGTATGCATGTGGGTGTGGGTGTGTGTATAAAATACTGGGAGAGAAAAATGTTGTCTACACTTCAAGGTTTCCTTAACATGGTAAAAATTGTTTGCCATCTTTCTTCTATAACAGCAACCAGGCCTCATTTTTTAAATAATCTTGTCAACTAAGAAATGTCCAAACCTGTAGATAATTTTTATAAGAGTTTATTTGAGCCAAACAAAAAATGTGTTACAAAAACACACACACATAAATATTAACACATAGACTAGAAAATCAAAATGCTTTTGTTTGAATGGGACAGATGATTTGTCTCACTATAGGCCCTTGAAATTTCCTTAGAACTCAATTGTCTGTAAAAGACAATTTCATGGAGTTATAAAACTTTAGAATTTGTATGGCCCTTCCTGATAGCCCATCCCAAAACCTTCATTTGAAGGTGTCACCGTTGCGGGTAATCTAGGTTCCTTTTGCCTCGCTGGCACTGAGAGCCTCGGTCCTTTCCACCAATGCAATAAAGAATTACAGATCAGTGAAGATTAGGAAAAGTAAGTTTAATTAAAGTATATTTCAAGAGAGAAATATGCTATCGAGAGGGCTATAGCTTCATAAAGGTGGGGAGGTGTGTCTTATATTTGGGCTGATAGGTGATTACAAGGGTGGTGCTAGCTGATTGAAGGGTGAGGTAGTTTTGATTGACAGTTGACTGTTATATAAGATATTGTTAACTACATGTGTTCCTCCCTGGAATTCAGTCTGTTATAATTAGATTCATGAACTTCTGGCTATATGCATGATATTATAATGATGGTGTAATGAGGCTGAGTTGAAAAGAAGGTCAGAGTACTCCTTACTGCACATTTGTTGCTGGCCTAAACCGATTGCTATGCTATGGTCATTTATATCCTTGTACTCTAGGATGCAGAGGTTATTGTTATTTGAAAAACGAGTTTTTCTCTGAGAGGGCCGAAGGGTGGCCTCTTGGGTTGGGCTATCGGCATTGTCATTTCTATGGTTATGGATCTGGGCTTTTGCTCCTGTTGCTCATGGCTACCTAACTGCCTAACAAAGGTATGGAAACTGAGCCTCAGGTAAATGCAGTCATAGAGTGATATCTAGCTCATTCCACTTCCAGCTGTATCAAATGTGGTAACTCATAAACAATCCAAAATACTCCATTGAGTGTTCCCACAAAATCCAACAAGAAACAGCCCTCCAAAATAGTACTACTAAAAATCAAAAATATAGAACTCCAATACAAAATGAACTCAACATGTCAACATTTTTTATAGAAGAAATGCTATAGTTAAGTGTATTACAACCAAAAAGGATAAATTCTAGAATAGCTGCTAAGCCTTTCAGGAGTTCCTACTCTGGAACAAGTAAAACATGTATTTTTTAGAATACAATAAGTGGGCTCTCCAAAAATATCCAGTGTTCCCCCCTTATCAACAGTTTCACTCTCTGTAGTTTTAGTTACCTTTGGTCAGCTGTAGTCCAAAAATATTAAATGGAGAATTCCAGAAATAACTCAAAAGTTTTAACCTATATGCCATTCTGAGTAGCATGATGAAATCTCACACTGTCCTGCTACATCTGGCATGAATCACCCTTTTGTCCAGTGTCTTTGGCTTTTATGTGCTACCTACCTATTAGTCATTTAGTAGTCATCTTGGTTATACTGTTGAGGTATCACAGTGCTTGTGTTAAAGTATCTCTCATTTTGCTTAATAAAGGCCCTAAAGCGCAAGAGTGGTGATGCTGGAAATTCAGGTATGCAGAAAGGAAACTGTAAAGTGTTTCCTTTAAGTGAAAAGGTGAGTATTATACAATAGGATATTTTGGGAGAGAAAGAGAGAGCTACCACATTATTTACAAAATTTTTGTTACAATATATTATTGAGATTGCTGTATTTTATTATTATTATTAAGCTCTTACTGTGCCTAATTTATAAATTAAAATTTATCATAACTATCTATGTATACAAAAAACATAGTGTATATAAGGTTGGGTACTATCCGCAGTTTCAAGCATCCACTGGGAGTCTTGAAACATATCCGCAGTGAATGAAGGGAACTAATGTAGTCTTGGAAAACATAGAGATACCTAACATTAGTTATGTGGAGGAGGAGGAAACTTTTCTCTATCTTCAAATTTCTTTCAGCTGGTCTAACAATCAAAGAATGAGATTTGCAAGGGAAAATGACTAAATTGAATTATATACATTTGTATGGATTTCCATATATGTGAGAAAGTCGGAGACCCCACATTGAACTAGACGTTCGAGGGTAAAAAAGAAAAATGTGTATTTATGACATTCTGAGCTAGGGATGAGGTAAGGTGCCTTGGGACTTCAAAGGGTCATTGCAGAACAAGGAGAAGAGCAGATATTTAGTAAATAGAAGTTTGCCCTGCCCTACAAGGATGTCAAGAGGTTATCTCTGATAATCTCTTATTACGGGCAAAACCCCTAATTCAAGTTCTTCAAGGTAGTTGAGGGGCAGAAGTTTCCCTTAACCCACAGGGTCATTGTTCCCTCTAGCTCAAAAAATCTGCATACCACCAAGGCACATCTTGAGGTGACTTGTGCTGAACCCCCACATATGTATTTATTTTTTAATATTTCCTGAACCCCCTAAAATGTACACATTAGGATAAAATGTTTTATAGCTCAGCCAGCAAAAATCCTATAGCATAAGGTCAATGTCCTATGAGTAATGTTGACATGAGAATGTACAAACTTGTCGAGAATTTTCAAGAAAATTTATTTGAGCCAAATAGAGAATACACCTGGAAGGAGGACATCAACAGACTGAGAAAAACGCTTGTCACAATGGCAGTGTGCAGCTTCTCTTATCCATTTTGAATTAAGAAGGAAATGTAAGGAAGATTACATGTAGGTGGGAAAAAGCAAGGTGGGAATTGAATTATAAAATAGTTAACAAGATCATGTGCTCTCCAGGGTGGTTTTGATTATTTAAAGGTGTGTTAACCTAGGTGTTTTTTGCTTCTGAGTGGTCTGAAAAGAGGCATTTCAAAGGCGTGTTAACCTAGATGCATAGAAACAACGGACAGGGTTTGTTTAAGACAAAGATAAACCTTTTATTAAAGAAGTTTTATGTCTGGTTCATGACTACTCACCATGACCTGCCCAGTTAGGAATTTATGATAAGGTCACCCTGTGAATTTACTTTCTGTAAAACCCCTTTTTTGTCCACACAAGGTGTGTAATTCATAATTGTACAGCTTAAAGATTATTCATAACTGAAACCCATGAGACCAGTACCCATATTAAGAAATAGGATATTTCCAGAACCCTAGAAAGCCCTTGGCTCACTTCCTCTCTCTACCTGCATATAAAGTTTAGCCATATCCTAACTTGTAGCACCATAAATTAGTTTCGAATAATTTATAATTTTGACTTTATATACATGGAGTCATACTATACGTACACTTTTGAGTATGATTCTTTTTTTGTTAACTTTATATTTGTAGGATTCATATTATTGAGCATAGTTGTAATTAGTTCATTTTTATTACTTTATAGTATTTGTAGATGAAAAAAGAGTTTCTAGGGCAAATCACCTCACAGGGTGATCTGATTATAAATTTTTAACTGGGCAGGTCATGGGGTCATGGCGTATAGTCATGCCCCAGGTGTATAACTTCTTTAGTAAAAGGTTATCTTTGCCTTATGCAAGTGTTGTCCATTGTTTCTGTGCATCTGGGTTAACACACCTTTGCAATAAGCTATAACCACCCTCAAGAGAGCACACAGCCTTGTTAAATATCCTGTAATCCAATCCCAACTTGTTTTCCCTCACCTCCATGTAATCATCTCTCCTCAAATGCATAAAAGATGCTGCAAAACTATCACTCTCTGGAGCATTTAAGATCTTGCTTCCTGGTATATGTCATCATTTCGTCTCAAATAAACTCATAAAAACACTCAACAGGTTTGGATGTTTCTTATGTCAACATATTCCATTGTGTGACTATATCATGCTCTATTTACTTGTTTTACTAAATGTATACAACTGATGGACATTTGTGTTGTTTCTAGCTTGGAGTTTGTTTTAGTTTACTAGGGCTGCTGTAACAAAGTACCCAAAACTGAATGGCGTAAGCAACAGATATTAACTCACAGTTTTGGAGGTTAGAAGTGGGAGATCAAGTGTCAACGGGGTTGGTTTCTTTGGAGTGATATGAGCAAGAATCTGTTCCATGGCTCTCCCCACTAGCTTCTGGTGGTTTTGTGTAATCTTTGTTGTTCCTTGGTTTGTAGCATTACACCGATCTTTGCCTTTATCCTCACATGGCATTCTCCCAGTGTGCATGTCTGTGACCAAATTTCCCCTTTCTAAAAGGCCACCATTCGCATTAGATTAGGGCCCCACCCTACTTCAGTATGACCTCATCTTAACTATTAACATCTGCAACAACTCTATTTCCAATAAAGTCAGTCTGAGATACTAGGGGTTAAGACTTCAACATATTAATTGGAGGGAGGGGCACAATTCAACTCATAACAGGGCTATTGTGAACAATATTGCTAAGAATATTCTTGCACATGTTTTGGTGAATATATATATTCATTTCTGATGAGTACATTCCTACAGTGGATATGCGGGATTATAGAGTATATGTTCAGCCTTAGTAAATTCTGCTAAACAGTTTTCCAGAATGGTTATATCAATTTTGGCTCCCATGATTAGTATATGAGAATTCCAGTTGAGCCACAGACTCACAAACATTTGATATCATCTGTCTTTTTTATTTCAGCCTTTATGATGGGAATATAGTTGTATCTCATTGTGATTCAATTTGGATTTCCCTGATGACTAATACAATTGAGCTCCCTTTTATATCTTTATCGACTGTCTGGAGATCATCATAGCCTACTGTACATGTGACCAGCATCCATATAAAAATTCTCGACAGGTTTGTATGTTATGTCAGCACTACCCATAGGACATTAATATTGCCTATTTATCTCTTGAATTGCATGACATTTTCTTGGATTTGCAACAACTCATTATTTTCCCATAAATAACTGGTGCTTTGTCAGATATAGATAGATAGATAGATAGATAGATAGATAGATAGATAGATAGATAGATAGATAGATAGATTAGATAGATAGATGATAGACAGACAGATAGATAGATAACTCCTTTTATTCCTTTTGACATTAGGAACCAGGCTTCATGTAAGTAGACAGGTATAGTTGATTTGCTTCACTTCCTGCCTCCTCCTCTTATGCATGTGTTTACAATACCAAAGGTGGGGGTTCATATTCTGTAATAGGAAAAGGAGGAATAAATTGCAAAACTATCCATCAACAACTGGTCTTTAAAACAATTTTCTTTTAATCTGGCCTTTACTTTCGGGGAGTGAGAATGTGCATGTTTCTCCATATGAGTGTCAGACTTTTTATCTCTCTGTGTCCATTTCTTTCAGTGTTCTCTTCAGAAGGCTTTATCTATTTGGCCTGCTCACCTCTCTTCTTTACAGTTTTTTTTTTTAATCTGGGCTTACTTCTCCTACCTTGCAAAGCTTGCTTCAGAGAAGTATAGGATATGTCCACTTGCAATACTTAACACAGAATCTTGCATAGAGTAGGCCTTCATTGTTGATTTGTTGGCCCTATAATTCATTGAAGCCTTCATTTTATTGCTATACAATAGGTGCATAGCATTTGTTCATAGAATGCTCTTGTTTTTTAAGAATTTTTAATATCAACAAGGACATATTCCAAGAGGTAATAAAACTATCATACTTTATAAATGAAGCTTAGACAATCTCAAAGAGTTTTCCATGACATTTTCCCCCAATTTACTCTAAATGTAAGTAGAACTAGGTTTGACCACATAAATGACATGTCATTAATAACCTCCTTCCTACTTGCATTTATTATTATAGATAGTCTTTTATGATTTTTTTTTATTGTGGTGCAACACAAATAACAAAATTAACAATCTTAACCATTTTTAAGTGTACAGGACAGTGGCATTAATACATTCATATTGTTGGGTAACCATCACCATTATTCATCTCCAGAACTTTTTCATCATTCTCAACTGAAACTCTCTACTCATTAAACTCTAACTCCTTTTTCTCCTCTTCTCCCAGCCCCTAGCAACCACCATTCTACTTTCCATATGTATGAATTCGATAATTCTAAGTACTTCATATAAGTGAAATTATACAATATTTGTCCTTTTATGCCTGACTTATTTCACCTAGCATAATGTCCTCAAGGCTCATCCATTTTGTAGTATGTATCAGAATACCGTTTCTCTTTTAAGACTGAAATTTTATATGTAAATATAGATATATCACATTTTATTTATCCATTCATCCATCAATGGACATTTGGGCTATTTCCACCTGGGTTATTTTATTTAATCATCACAATTACTACCTATGGTAGACCTGAATTTAAAAGCTGGTTCTATAGCTTACCAACCCTGGCCAAGTTGAATTTTTCTTTGCATATTCATTCCCTCATTTGTAAAATAAAAATAAAATCGCTCACCTCAGTGGACTGAAATGAGGATTTAATAAGATAACAAAATACCTAGTATAGTGCCTGCCATATGGTGGATATTCAATAAATGGCAGCTAGTAACATGATTCATGTTAATAGTAACAATTCAAGAGTCTGTTTCATATCTTCTAGGACTAGTCTAGACTAATGTATGCAATGTATCTCTTGCTTCATAAAAAGTCATCTTAGGTCATACATATGTGGCGTATCCAAAAGATATTTTTAGCTTCTGGAGTACTGAAATCAATGAAGGATAACAAGAATCATTTGTGAAACATGTACTTTTTATTCCACCCACAATCTATTTGCCAACATCAGAGAGATTAAAGTGTCAGTTCAAAGAGTTCAGTTTTATGGAGTACTAATGATTTGTCTCTTCAAGGAAAAAAATGTTTAATTTTATTTATCTGACAAATAAGTAAAATCATTTCCTCTAAGGAATTTGAGCTTAATAACTTATTGGTAATAGAAGCATCTTCAGACTCAACTAAGACCAATCTCATTCTCAGGGTGAGCATCTGGGAAAGTAAATGGCCAAACATCTCAGGAGAATTTTTTATGAACTTTTATAATAATTTAGTTTCAGATTATTTCTAATATAAAATACTAATATAAACCACAAAGAACTTTTAAATATGCCTTATCATTTTAATAGCTAAAGCTTTATAATAAACTTTTTTCTGAATATATAAATTTTGAATATACAAAAAAACAGATAGACAAAGATTTATTTCTGGGGTTTTTTTTCTAAGCATAGTTTTTTGAGAGGCCAAGAGGAGGAAACATAGTGAATGAGTCTCTATATTCAATTTTATATTCTTTTCCCAGTTAACCTTATACTACAGTACCCTACATAGGATTTTTCCAAAGTAATGAGAAATTCTTTATTAACATATTGCAAGAGAGTAAAATAGCAAAACAATTTGAGAATGTGTACCTACACCTAATAGGGTTGGTATAAGAATAAAATTTGTTAATCTTTACCATTAAATACATATAAAATTATTGAATATATATAAAGTATTTTAATAGTGCCTCACATATGCTAAGCATTCTATAAATGTCACCTACCTATTATTATCATCATTAACTATTAAATACCCTTAATGTGGTACTCAACAGAAATCTTAAAACAAGACATATAATAATTGACTAACTACACTTAAAATCTGTAACGTTATTTATAGAAAAATCATTTATAATGCTTTCTCAGTTTAAATTTTAATATCTATAAAGTATATCAGGTCAAGTAGTATGACTTCTAATCCCTAATTTTTAATTTATGGACTAAGTTTGTGATCTTATTTTTCACTTGTCAGACAGATACATCTTTACCAAAAAACATAATTTGTCAGAACTTTTAATGAAAATTGCTTAAAAATGCAAGTTAAAATCAATACAATTTAAACTTCTATTCCCTAGTCTACTAACCACTTGTTCATATCAACCAGTTCAACAGCCATATAGGCTAGTGGCTACCATGTTGTACAGAGCAGACATCGAATATTTCTATCACTGTAGAAAGTTCTATTGGACAGAGTTATATTATAATCTCTAGGCAAAAAGTGGCATGTTTGGATTATGCATCAATTCATGAGTAAAGTGCTTTTGCTCCAATTTCATTTAACTAATTATACAAATTTAGTAATTTAAAATTTTTTCTAATATGATCCAAGTTTGATATCATTTGAGACCTAGACCTAGATTCTCTATGGTAAGGATCAAATACAAGAAAAGCAATACGTGTGTGTAATATATAGATTTTATTTCATGTTTTTCTTCATTAAGTGAAAAGCTTCTCTCGCCATACTTAACAAATGTTTTCTTTTTAAATAATAATTTAACAGATTAAAACATTTTTATAATGAAAAATCACAACTTATTTAGAAGTAGAGAAACTAATATAATAAACTTTCCTGAATCCATCACCCAGTTTCAACAATTATCAATCAATGACCAATTTTTTTCATCTATAACCTACTCTCTCTCATCCCCCAACCTCCACTGGATTATTTTAAAGCAAATATCAGACATAAATTTCATTTGGTCTGTAAACATTTTAGTAGATATCTCTAAAAGATAAGAACTCTCTTTTAAACATAATCATAATATCCATTACCGTGGCTAAAAAAATCTACCTATCAGTAATTCTTAATATTATCAAATAAATAGTCATTAAACAAACAAAAAGAGTCAGTTAGTTTTTCTGATTTTTACATCAAATTTCAAGTTTGAGAAGCACATGTGATATTGTCATCAATTCAAGGTTACTGATCATTTTGTGTCAGAAGCACTATAGATCAATATTCAGGAAATGAGAGTAGTATGTTTTACTAACTATTTGCTCACAACAAAACAAAGCTTCATAAATGAACTTAAAAAATAATCAATAGAAACAAAAATACTTAAGCTATCAAATTATTCAAAGTAGGCCAAATAATCCTAATAAGGTAAACAAATTACTTCCTCATATCCATTAGAATGTCTACTATCAAAAAACAGAAAATAAGTGTTGGTGAAGATGTGAAGAAATTGGAACACGTCTGTACTTTTGGTGGGAATATGAAATGATATAGCCGCTATGGAAAGTAATATGATGGTTCTTCAAAAAATTAAAAATAGAATTACCATTTGATTCGACAATTCCTTTTCTGGATATATACTCAAAAGAATTGAAAGCAGGGTCTTAAAGAGATATTTGTATACCCATGTTCAGGGAGCATTATTCCAAATAGCTAAAACATGGAAGCAACCCAAGTGTCCATGATAGGTGGACATATAAACAAAATGTGATATATACATACAATGGAATATTGCATACCTTAAAAAGAAAGGAAATTATGACATATGCTATAGCATAGGTGAGCATTGTGGACATTGTGCTAAGCAAAGTAAGCCAGACACAAAAGACAAATACTGTACAACTTCATGTACATGGGTAGTTAGAGTAGTCAACATCATAAAGACAGAAAGTAGAATGGTGGTTGTCAGAGACTGTGGAAGGATAAAATGGGGAGTTATTATTTAACAGCACAGAGGTTCAGTTTTGCAAGATGAGAATTCCAGAGATGGATGGTGGTGATGATTGCACAACAATATAAACGAACTTAATCCCAGTAAACCATACACTTAAAAATGGTTGTGATGGTAAATTTTGTTATGTGTATTTAACTGCAATAAAAAATTTGGAAGAAAAACAAGTGAACACGCTACACTATGCTATTTGCATACAGAGACAAGATAGATTAATAAATATTTTGCATATGTATTTGTGAATCTAGCATAAACAAGTATATAAGTGACTCCTGTATATCTTGAAGGACAGTATTATATAGGAACTCGTTTTTGCTTAGAGATTTTCCAATTTCTAGTTAATATGGAAAAATTTATTAATAGTACAAATGTAAGGAAAACATAAAAAGTTGATGATAAATACCTGCACTGGTGGATCAAAATAAGTTGTTTTGCTTCTCTAAAACATCCTATTCACAGGCCAGAAGAGATAGAGAATGGATTGTGAAACCTTCGATCAATTTAGCACAGAGATTCAGATATAGGGATGAAAAGAGAAAACATACTGTCATTTGGATTGGAGTTACTAGTTGAATTTACTGGATGCATTAGGAAATTTGATAGCCATCGTAGGATTTTATAGTAAAGAGAAAGATAATCAAAGGAAAGGCCAAAGAATCAAAGATACAGATAACAAATAAGAACAGGAAACATAGCTGAATATAAACCCAGTTGATTCTGATGAAGTATATGTGTAAATTTGAGTTAGTTTTATTTTTAATTTTTTTAATCTCTAAATATATAAAATAGGCTATATGAACTCTGAGATCCTGTCCACTTCTAAGTTTAATAAGTTTCAATAAGTTTTCTAAGTTTCAGTTGTCTTTTGAAATTTTAATTTGCATTCTAACATACCTTCCATGGGAAATAACTTGTTGGCTTTTTAATGTTTTTAATTCAATGATCCAGTAATTCATACAGGTATTTTTTCTTTTACAAAATGCCTACAAAAACATCTTATGCCATTGTGGTATATTGTGCAGTCACATGATGAATCAGACACCTTGCCTGCCTTCAAGGATCTCAGAATCTGTAGCAAGGACAGACAGGTATACAGGTAATTTTTTTATCTTAAAAAATAAGGATGAATGAGATTAGGAAGTAGGCTAAATGAGTTCCAGGCAGGAGGAGCTCTGTAGATGCACAAGTAAAACCCAGGAAAAAGAATGTATGGTGCCTGGAGAAATTACAGGCAGTTAAGTATTCTTGGGGAGAAGAGTGATGAGCAATTGGGCTGCATGGTTAGAAGTGGCCACATACTTAAGAATTCTACGTGGCATGCTAAGAAATTTGGATTTTATCCTGAAGGCAAAAGAAAGTCAGTTAAAAACTCAAATGAGGAATATGACAAGGATTAGGTGGAAGTGTATTCAGGAGGTTTGAGGTACTTAGGGCAACTGAAGGAAAGTGATAGTCACACTTACCTGGACCAAAACAGGGACTATGGTCACACAGAGGCAGAACTAGAGCCCAGAGATATGGAAGAGTTAGAATTGGCTAGATGTGGTGAGGGTCCCACCCCAGGATTTAGTAAGTGGGACCAATATTTCAATAAAATTTCCCAGGTAATGCCATAGTTTAATTAGGTGTGGGACCCAGCAGTGCAGACTTCTTCTCAAGGAGTTTGAGTGTCAAAGAAAAGGAGAGAAGATGGCAGTTAGAGGGCTGAAGGGCTCCTTTGGTTAAAAATCAAAAAGCCTTGACTGTTCACATGACAAAGAAAGAAAGAAGACCAGCAGGAGGGGAGAAGCTGGAGGAGCCAAGGTCATGAAATCTATTTTGCAGGGAAAAGATTTCAACAGAAGGAGGATCTCAGTGCAGAGACAGGAACTAAAGAAGAAAGGATAGGAACAGAGACACAGACAGTTAGAGAGAAGGGATAGGAACAAGGTTGAGGGAATTCTACCTTGAACCCCCTCCTTCTTTCTCAGTGATAATAGGTGGTGAGCACCCAGTACCCTTTCTGTAAAGGCTAAGTTTCACGAATAGTAAGGACCATGTAGATGAGAGCAGGCTCACAAGAGAAAGATAAAAGCGCTATTTTATCTCGGGGAGCCTTGTTGAGGAAAAAAAATTGTATTTACACTGGTACCAATGGGCACATTCTGATTTTCTTCCTAGAGGGTTTCCAGATTTAGCAAATAAAAATGCAAGAACCCCCCCCCAGCTAAATTTGAATTAAAGATAAACAGTGGATAATTTTTTAGTATGACTTATGCAATATTTGTGACATACTTAAACTAAAGAGTTATTAGTTATTTGAAATTCACATTTAACTAGACATCTTGTATATTATCTGGCACCTTATATGAGAACTAGAAAAATCAGATGTATAGATTATGACTTAATACTTAAAGTTAAGGTTGAAGTTTTCTATGAAAATCCTCTTGATTTTTAATGTTTCTTTGCAAACAAGAGGTACTGTCAGCAGCTGACAGGGCCATAAACACATGTTTATATATAACATGGCAAAAACTCAAGCAAGATTGATTAGCTTGTAGCTGCTGAGTTGCTTTTTTCCTATCTGCTTCTGCCCTCCTTCCAGGCACATCTACCTTAACCTCTGACTCCAGGAATCAGTGTTTTCTATCACTGAATCATATGTTAGGTTTTTGTTATCCAGATCTTAAAAAATCGTTTCTCTTATATTACCCTAAATCAGCTACCTTGATATTAGCTTTAAAAAATAGGGTAACCAACTGTCCCGGTTTGCCCAGAACAAAAGGTTTCCCAGGATTTGAGATTTTCAGTGCTAACACTGGAAACATCCCAGGCAAATCGAGATAGTTGGTCATCTGCCTTGACCATGGTAGATTCTTCTAAGGCAATGATGTCTCTATGTTGATTATTAACCTTTAATTCTTACAAATAATTAAAATTTTTCCTCCTCAAAAACTTTGTCTTCATTACTTAAGTTATCTTTCTCCTTTATATAAAAGGTAATAATTTATAAAGGAAAAGGTACATTTTTCATATTTTATGCCATATCTCAGTTCTTAGAACATTGTTGGTGGAAAATGTCAATTATAAGACCATAATTTTATTAAGCTAGTTATTAGTGCTGCCATTTTTAAATGATTGGGTCAAAAAGTTCATTCTTATATATAGGCTGATTTTATCCTTTATATGCCAATTTAAAGTTACTCTATGATCCATGAATAATACACAATGACACAATACATGTATTTATCCGTATAAATTTGTCCTGAAGGCAAGGGGAAATGCAAGATATAAATGACTGGTAACCTGTATTATTTTCAGAACTCATAAATTTTACTTTTGTATCTTGAATTATCTTCACACAAACTTTAGTGAACCTTGCATTCCACTGGTGCAAGCATATCTTTACCACAGGGCAAAAACAAAGAAATCATAATTTTGGAGTACTGCTTAGATCAATTAAAACCTTCATTATGATGGCAATGTTAGGGTCCTGATTTAGTTATGAAAGGCTAGCTATCAAACCAATATTGATTGTCTTCTTACTTAATAACAAAACTTTGATTTTTTTTTCCAGGTAGCAATATGACCAATTAAAAGACTCCTTTTACAACCTCCACTGAAGCTAGACACAGAATTCAGAAAGTCTCCTTAAGAAAGAGATACCCATCTTGCATGAACTCTTTTTACTGTCTTTCCTTTCTCTTGCTTGCCTGAAACTCAAACATGGTGGATGGAGCTTCAGCAGCCATCTTGGGTCATGAGAAAAACCTTTAAGCTAGAAGCCATGGCTATGAAAAGCATGGATTTTCATAGGAATATAAAAATAGGTTTAGTTTCTGATTACTACGGCGCCACCTTATGAGATCTAGACTACCACCCCCAAACTTCTTTTCTGAGAGAAAAACAGTTAAAGATCCTGTTATTCTTATGATTTGTGACTAGATGCCAAATGTAAATCCTAACTGATAGAACTGTTAATTGTGAAAATTAATTAAGGTGAGGTATTGCTTGGATTAGTAATAATAGTAAAACTTATTGAGTGTTTGCTGTGTACTAATTTCTGAAATATTTTTTAAACACTATTTAATCCTCATAAAAACTTTATGAAGTAGGTATTATATATACTCCATTTTTCATATGGAGAAACTGAGCTCAGGAATGTTAAGTAACTTGCTCAAGGTCACAAACTAGAAAGTAGTGGTACTGGAACTTAAAACTGGACTTTGGGTGATGAGCATGCAATAAAGTATACACACATTGAATTATTATATTGTACACCTGAAATTTATGTAATGTTATTAACCAATGTTACCTTAACATTTAATGTAAAAAATAAAAGACTGTTACAAGAGCCCTGGCTCTAAATTTCTCAAAGGTGAAAGAAATATAATCCTAGTAACAAAGCAAAGATTCATACAACTCAATAATTCATACAACTCAACAATAATAATAATAAATAAAATCCAATTAAGAAATGGACAGAGGACCTGAACAGACACTTCTTCCAAGAAGACGTACAAATGACCAACAGACATGAAAAGATACTCAACTTCACTAGCTATTGGGGAAATGCAAATCAACACCACAATGAGATACCACCTTATACCTATTAGAATGGCTATTATCAACAGCACAAGTCATAGCAAGTGTTGAGGTTGTGAGGAAAAACGAACCTTCATATACTGGTGGGAGTGTAAATTGGCACAACCACTATGGAAATCGGTATGGAAGTTCCTCAGAAAACTAATAGAATTACCATAAGACCCAGCAATCCCTCTTCTGGATATTTACCCAAAAACCTGAAAACATTTATCTGCAAAGATATATGCACCCCAATGTCATAGCAGCATTATTATTCACAGTGGCCAAGACATGGAAGCAACCAAGTTTCCTACGATAGATGACTGGATAAAGAAGCTGTGGTACATATACAATGGAATATCACTCAGCCCTAAGAAAAGATGAAATACTGCTGTTTGCAACAACGTGAATGAATCTTGAGATAATCGTGCTAAGCGAAATGTCAGAAAAGTTGAGAACTATATGATGTCATTCATATGTGGGAAATACAACTGAAAGCAACAAACAAACATGATAAACAAAGAGAAACTCATGGACACAGTGGATTAGTGGTTACCAAAGGGAAAGGAGAAGGGGGGAGGTTGATACGGGGAAAGGAGGTCAAATATTTGGTGACCGAAGGAAATCTAGCTTTGGGTGGTGAACACACAATGCAGTATACATATGACATATTGTTAAATTGTACACTTGAAACTGATTTTATTAACCAATGTCACCCCAATAATTATAATTTTAAAAAGCTAAGATTTTATAATTTTTAATACATCAATCATTTGTGACATTATCATTGTTTATCATGAGCTTTGCTCTTTAATAGAAATTATGTAGAAATGAATAAGACATCCCATTTTTATAGCACCTACTTTAGGAGAAAAGAATCATCTAAATATTCCTAGGAATCTGCTTAATAATCCTAAGGAAGTTATGAAATAGAAAAAGTTATCCTTCCGAGCCCTTGAATCCTCTTTAGTTCTTTCCTAACCTCCAGTTACTGGGAGAGCTGTTACCTGAATCCTGCTATACAGGATTCTAGAAGGCTCTGTTCACATTGTAGTCATCATTGATTTGTGGCTTTCTGGCAGATGGCAGTAAAATGTGAGAAAGTGTTTTTTTCTAAGTTTCACAAGGACATTTCACAAGGACATTTGGGCTAGTGGCAAGGCTGATTACATGCTTCTGCTCCTCTACTCTGGCCACTGTAACTTGTAATCTCCCATCCAAGCACCTCCAACAGCCCTAGCCCCAGTCATATTCTAACCTTAACCCAACAAGCTGTGTCCCAGAGAGCTTTCAATGTCCTGGAATTAACCCTCTCATCTGCATTCAAGGTCTTGCTGTCATTTAGCTGTCAAGGCACAGAAGTCCATAAGCTAAGTTATGATAGCAATGGAAATTAGTCTTTTTTCTTAGTTTTCTCTCTTGTCAAGACACACTTGGACATTCAAAGTCTTAATTCACGCATGTGTGTGTGTGTGTATGTGTGTGAGTGAGATTTTAGTAAAGCAATAGTCATTTAAAAATATAGTATTCTTACTCTACTATAATCCCTTGCCAATCACCATTTCATTTTCCAGATGAAACTTTTAACAAACTTTTTTTTTCTGGTATTTACCTCCATATTTCTAAATATTCTGCTTGTACTGGTATGTCTTATTTATCAATTTCAAATTTATTTATTAATATCCTGTTATGGTAAATGACAATGTACATCTCTTATACCACCATTCTGACTTTCCTCACATCTGCCACTCTCCCAAGATAGTTATATCACCATTTTTAGTTAAATTGATATTCAGTGTTACATTTGCATGTCTGTATAAATGTTGACACTTCAGAGTCATGTTTTTTCCTGTAAAATTGTTTTTCCTAGCATGAATAATTTTTGTCACTTTTTAACATTAATAACTGCCTCATTTCTCGATTTCTCATGAGAAATTTTTATACATGCTCCATCATATCTCTTAAATATCAATGTTTTTCAAGTGCTCGAATATATTAAATAATCTATCAATTCTATTTTTTCCCCCAGAAGCTCCCCTCATCCTCCTGCTACAAATATGACTGATTTACTGTTGGGTTTGTTGCAAGGCTGTCATTTAGGGTGTCCTTTTGCTATTACTCTGGGACTTTCCTTTGCTTCCTACCCATATTGAAACCCTTTCTTTCTGTGGTCCCTGAAATTTGCTGTCACATATTCTCTCAGCTGTTGGAATATATTTTCCAGTAGTTTCCAACAAAAGTTATAAATTTAAATTCTCATGTGTCTTCAAATGTTTTTATTTACCCTCATATTTAACCATTAATTTGTCAAGGAGAAAATGATTGTCTCACAAATGTTTGCAGAATGGCTTCATTATCTTCTAGGATGCTAAATTGCTACTAACCTGGCTGATCTCGTGCAATATCTATTCCCTTGCATGTGAACTGATTTTAAAGACACTTTCAAGATTCTTTCATCCCTGATGTTCTGGTGATTCCTTGGTGTGGATCTTTTTTCATTTATTCTGCTGATAATTAATGGGGTCCTTTTAATCTGAAGACTCATGGCCTCTTTTTCTGGAACTCCTCTTTCTTCAGATGTTCTCCCTGATTAATCCCTAGAATCTATATTATATTTTTCTTTACAAATGTTCTTTTCTTTGTCATTTTTGTCTTAGTTTCTGGGAGATTTTCTTAACCATCTTTCATCTCTTTTACCTAGAATATTGTTGATTTCTAAGAGCTCTTCTTTGTCATTTTTCTTTTTTATTATTATTATTTATGCCTACAGCACCTGGTCTTCCTAGGTGGTCTCCCATCCACGTACTAACCAAGCCCAACCCTGCTTAGTTTCTGAGATCAGACATCGGGCTTGTTCAGGTGGCATGGCCATAGATCATGGACCGTGACTTCACTGGGGCGTGAACCCAGGAACTTCTGCATGTAAAGCAGACGTGCTAACTGCTACATTATGGAACCACATCCTTCTTTGTCATTTTTTATGGCATTCTGTTTTTGTTTTTATTTTTTAGATGAGAAAAGAGTTAAAATAAGGAATATAGAAAATAGAATCATTTCAACCAAGCTGTGAAAATTATTAACATTATGAAGTTTGTGCCATGTGGAAAGACTCCATTTTTGTTCTAACTAGCCTAGAAACTTAAACTTTTTTGACATTTCCGGTCCTGTGTTGTTACAAGCAAGGAAGGCAACTACCGAAATGACACTTTTGAACACATTTGTGTCTTTCCACAATGCCAGGTTTATTAAGAGGAACGTTTTCAGATAAACCAACCAGGTACCCACACAAGTTAACATGGAATGTACAAAGTCTTACACGACAGAGCAAAGGAATAAAAGTCCTTAGCATCTCCAAAGCGAGCTCTGTTGGCTGGCAGCACCAGCTGTTCAGTGGTTCCAAGCCAGTGGCTATGATTATGGGTCAGAAGGTCAGAGTTTTCGGCTCTAGCACAACTGTCCATTATGCTATGTGGTCAGGCTTGTGCATCATCTGTCTGGTGTTCAGCTTATATGGATCTTAGAAGGTGGGATCCTTATGCTTATAGTCTCCTGCAGATGGGGGCTTATCCAGAACAGTGAAGTTTCTGTGGTTTGGGATGGTCCAGTTACACTCTAAGGGTGTCCCCATTATGTGCCCGTTGACATTACTGTCATAGCTCCTATGGAATCCATTTTGTAAAATCCAAAGAGTCCTTATTTCTTTATGCTCTATACATGTGTCAATGCCTGGATATACATTTGGACCTCCAGGTAACCCTCTAATTAGTCCCAGAAGGATTCATGTTCCAGGACTCCTGATTACCCTGTGAAAGACTCCTGTATACATCCATCAGACATCCATTATCCAGCCCAGCCTGGGACTGACCAGATCTCCTGACACCCATCTTCCTGACCACCTGGCATCCATCATCCTGACTGCCTGATATCTATCCACCTGATAACTGTCCTAGGCCAATCCTGGGCTAAGAATGCAGGACTGATACTTCTCAATAATGTACTTTTTACTATAAGAACTTTTAACTTTGCTTTCTTCTTTGAATTCTTCTGGGGGTTTGCCTAGCTGTGTATCCCATTTGCAAACTCCAAGACTCTTGAATAAATATCATTTATTTCTAGGAAAGCCTCCAGATTCTTTTTGAGTTCATTCAACATTGGGGTACAATGTCTTGGAGGAGGTTATATATGAGCCAGGATATTAGTTTTTGGAGATCAAGTCAGGAAGAGATGGTTGACAACTCTCTTTGGAGAAATATGAGGAAATAATACACTTACACACTTTCTAAGATCACCCAGGAGAAACGTAGGATCAGATTTCTTTCTTTTTTTTTTAAGTTTATTTGGGTAACATTGGTTAACACAATTATATAATTTTTGGGTGTACATTATAATTTGACATCTATATATTCTATTGTGTGATTACCACCCAGAGTCCAGTTTCCTTCAGCTACCACATATTTGATCCCTTTTACCCACTTCACCCTCGCCTAAGGATTAGACTTCTTACTTCTCAAAGTAGCTTCATGACTGCCCTTGTTTGCATCTATGGAACAAGTGTTTTTGAATTCAGATACAACTCAAATATGTAGATTAGGTTACAGTAGGCATTAGACAATCTAATGGATGGAAAACGGTTTCAAACAAAATAGACTATTTTCTTATTACTGAGCTCTCACCAATACCAAAAGACCAATTTAGATTTCATTTTGTCTTCTAATTTTCTGGCTATAGGATTCCTTAGGTTCAGAAATAATTCACAGTGCTTCACAGATATGATAGCTATTTGCTCAGTTTGTTTTAATATTATGCACAATAATAATTGAGATCAACACACTTCATCTGTTTCTTTGTTGTTTAAGACCCTTCCTTTTAACTGGGCTAAATTTACACTTTGTAATTCTTTTTGTTTGTTTGTTTTTTGTTTGATTGGGTTTTTTCGGTTTTTAAGTCTTTCCTAAAAGACCAACCAAGCAGCCAAAAACCTTTACATTTTATCTAGCTGTCAAATTAGCCTCAGATTAGTCATACTCTCTCTTTTGTTATTCTTAAAATAATCTAACTCTAGAACAGTTTGGGCAAGGGCAAATATCACAGCCTCACCCTTCATTTCGTCTGGTTAGCCAACATTTTTATACAGCTAGAACTGCATTTAATGTAAAAATCAGGGGAACCTGGAGTATTGTTT